GCGCCAGGGCCTTCGGGTACGATGTCGATCCGTGTTGTGTTCTTTGTGGAGCTAAAGACACCATCTTCCATCGGCTGTGGGAATGTCCTTTCCCTGATGCTGTCACCGCTCGGCTTGAGGCTACTGACAGTGAGGTGATTGAGGCCGCCCTGTCTGCTAAGGCGTCTGGAGATGACGACGGGCTTTTTGTCTTTATATCTGGCGCCTGTCGGCACCCCGCCGACTCCTTCCCTCGGACGGCTGATGAGCAAGATGATGGTCCGACCTTGATCTGGCATAAGATGCCTGAGACGGACCCTGGCGGAGCCCCTATCAGCAATCGGGTCTGGGGGTCCCTTTTTGTGGGCGGCTCATGCTCCCGTCATGCTGTCAAGGAGCTGTTCGGGCGATCTTGTGGCCGAGCTGAGGGCCCCTGTTTGGGGCCCCTACCCTCAGACTCTTCAGAGTGTTGAATTCAGTGCGTTCACCTGGGCCAATGTTCTTGCGACCCATCCTTCTGAATGCCATGTGTATTCTGATTGCAGTAATGTGGTCCAGGCTGCTGCGCTTGACCAGCAGCTTCAGCTCTCTCCTAAGCGTATGTATTCAGAGGCTTTTCTTCAGGTGCATGGTCAGGTCTCGGGGTTGGCGGCCTGTGCCAAGGTGGCTGCACACCTTGACCTGGATGCGCCTGGGATTTCAGCTGAGGGGCGGTGGCGCCGTCTTGGCAACCACCACGCTGATGCGGGTGCCAAGCATGCGGTCCGCCTTCACCCCACGGATGATGCTCTTTTGCTGGAGGCCGATCGTCTCGTGTCTTTGGCGAGGGCCACCATAAAAGTTGCTGTGCATGTGCTCCCTCTGTGGCCTCCTGTGGATCTGGACGGGGTCGGCAGAATCCCAGAGGTTACGAGTCCGAAGAAGGAGGTGCCAGGGCACGGCTGGAGGTCGTGGGGCGGAATCTGGAGGTGCGCTCACTGTTTGAGGGGGAACCGTGCCTTTTCGAAGCCAGCTCCAGGTTCCTGCTCTCGGTCCTCTTTAGTCCACGCAGACTTTCAGGACGCCTTAGGCCATCGGACTGTGGCTTTCCCGTGTTCTGACAACTCCGTGCTCTTTATCTGTTTTAAATGTAACTGCATCACTTGCGGAGGCCATATTCGTGGACTCAGTAAACAGTGTGTTTCGGTTCCGTCGCGTGCGTGCAAGCAGGGTTGGGAATATTTGTGCAAAGGCCTCCACCCCAGGTACCAGCTGAGAATTTCCTGGCGTCATGGTGGACACTGAAGGCCTGATCCAGTGTTTCAACTCTGCTGCTGCCCTCGCTGCGCTCGCCGGCGGTGCGTCGGATGTGCCTGTGCAGGCACCCATCTCGAGCGGTCGAGTTGAGTCGGAGCCCCCTCAGCAGGAGATGAGGCAGGGACCCCAACACATGCGACAGGACTCACCTTTTTTCCTGGCGAGGCGCCGCCAGGATGAGTCGGACAGTTCGGATTGAAGTTTCGGTGGTGCAGGGCCGCCTCTCCATATTCGTTTTGCTTGCACGGCCCGATGCGGCTGACCCTTTTGGCAGGCATCCGTGCTATACCCCACATCTGGGGCGAGTTTGTTAGTGTCCTGGCGCTGTTTGTACCAGGGGTTGCTGGCCTCGCCGTCCTTGTGTGGGTGGTCGAGTTTTCCTGTGGCATGGGTGCGCCGTCTTTTTTTTTTTCTGACAAGCGCGGCCCGATGCGTCTGACCCTTTTGGCAGGCATCCGTGCTATACCCCACATCTGGAGCGAGTCCGATGGTCTTGGCGCTGGCTGCACCAGGGGCTGCGGGCTCGTCGTCCTTGCGTGGGTGGTCGATGTTTCTTTCTTTGGATTTGTTGTGTACTGTATCGTTGTGCGTGCGTCCGTCTTGCACGCGTGTCAGGCACCCCACTTCTGGGGGAAGGTACGAGCACATCTGGGGTGCACTTTCCCCTGTTCCGAGCACGGGGGTGACTCCATCCCGACTGTGGCTCGGCTGGTGTTGCCGTGGCCTTGAGCATGGGCTCTTGGCCCCAACATTTTTTTTTATAGCGTTGGGCGTGCGTCCTCGTGCGTTTGTGCGTTCGCTCGTCCTTCTTGCGCTGTCGTCCGCCACGGGGGGCAATCGAGGCTCTCGTGGCAGGGCGCTGTCTCAGCCGTTGTCCCTCTTGCACAGCTGAGGGCAGTCGGTTCGAGATAGCCTTCCCATGTGCAGTCTCCCTGCATTTGGGTTGTTTTGCGCTCTCAGCTCGGCGTCCGTCTGTGGCCCTGTGTGCCTGCCCCTCTCCTAGTGATGCTGCGGCAGGTGCACATTTTTGGGGCTCCAGGACGCAGAGACCCTTTTGGTCTTTCGAGCTTTCTCACTTGCGCTGATGACTCAGGCTTTTGGTCTGGGTCTGGGAGCCAGTATCCCCCTCCGCTGCTGGCCCGTTTCCTTGGTCAGTCCAAGGTTTTTGGAGGCGTTGGCGTTGATGTCAAAAAAAAAGTCCCTTCGGAAGTGCTTTCAGGTGATTGATGTGGTCGGTGACCACCGTCAAGTCCTGATCCCGTGCCACGCGACGCACCACCTCCACAATGGCAACCAACTCAGCGCGCGGAACTGTCTGACGTTGACTGTCCAGCATTCCGTGCGCCCCACAATCCCAATCGAGATCAGCAACAATGCACAAGCGCGCGAAGCCAAAAGTCACCCAGCGCAGGATGGGGTCGGTGGCATGGGGCCCTCCAGCGCCACTGGCGCCGTAAATTCCTCCCGGAAGAAGGCCATCACAGCATCGGAAAAACTCCAACGCCCGATCCTCCGGAACTCCGGGAAGACGTAACCAATGCTTGTGAATGAGACCACGACACCAAAACATAGGGTGTTGACCAATGCTGTCAAGGGCCTGCTGGCAAAGCTCATTGCTTTTGGAAATGTGCTCACAAGAAGAAGTGGCGTGGCATGAGCAACTCCAAAAGGCATGACAGGACGAGTCAACAGATGAAAGGTACTACTGGCACCAAGGATCAGGAGCAATCTTAACAGAGTGCTTGCGCTCCTCTGGCCAATAACCGCCGCATGCGACTAGCCGAATCATGCTGGACAGCGCCAAATCACCGTCTTTTGCTACGCACCGAATGAGTCTCGCCACGTGCGTCTATGCGACGCCATTCTCAGCGCCGCCTCCGTCATGACAGCCCGAGGCAGCGCGCCAATGTTTAGCGTCAAGCCAGGCATCGAATGCCTCGAGGAGCGCGGTCACGGGGTCCTCGCCCGAGCCCACCATCCGCCAGATTTCCCTGGTGGGCTCATGTTTCTCTGACGGCGAGGGGCACTCCCAGCCGAGAGATATCAGCGTGGCCTGGAAAGCTCCCATCGGTCCTCGAACGAACCCCCATCCACGTCGCACGAGCTCAAGAGACTTATCCCAAGATGTACGGATGCGGTCAAAAAGAAGACCCCCCCAGCCGTTCTACTGTACCACGTGCTGACGACCCTCCGCACATGAACCTGGGCAGGGTCGCACCCAGGGCCGTAAGTGAGACGGAGGGCTGTGGTGCAACAAGTACCTTTCTGGGGCGAACGGCTGGACGCATGAGCCATAGCCCGCAATCGCTTGATAATGTACGGCGCTAGACCGTGCACCTCGGACGCCCAACAACACTTCAGATAAGCATTCGTGCGGAATAGCTTTCACGCATCCCGGTCAGAAGATGAAAGGTGGTTGATTTTAGCCGACGCCGTGCTACCAGCGTTCATGCGAGCGCGCCGGACAACAACCGTCCGTCTAGCGCCGAAGTTGGTGTCATGGCCCAGGTCACCGGCATTTGCAAGGCCCTCGATCTCACCGAATCCTTCCTCTCGCACCAACGAGACGAGCTCGCGACGAAGGCTCACGGACGAGGCCAACACTCCGCATTTATCGAGGGAGAGTTGGACCTTTCGCCGGCGCAGACCAGTCAGAAGAGTCCTCAGCAAAACAGGAAAGGTGGTAACAAGAGAAGCATGCGTGCCGTACAAGCGACAGGATATGTCATCAACCCATTCCCGCTATGACTGTCCAGGCACCGATTTGGAGGCAGCTTCGAGAGGAGCATGCAAGAAAGCCCTGGCCAAGGAAACGGCTTGGCCACAGCCTGGAAGGATGCCGCCGCTTGGCAGGACCCCCTTGTGCATGCAACCTGACAGCGTCAAGATCCTCACCCCAAAATGAGAATCAAGGGCGAGAGCCAGAAGCCTGAGCGGGTAGTTAAGCTCAGTTACCGCGTCCACAAGATCGGCCAAGTTCACTGAATCCTGAACCTACGAAGATCCAACAACAGGCCAGCGACCTGGAAACCCTGATGCAAAGCTAGTTCGGACTCTAATTCGTCCATCCAGCCGGCGGCTTCGGCTGACCCTCCAACTGTTTTGTCCCATGGACCGTGAGATGTACGGTCCCAGGCTTGCACATAAGGCCTTCGGATCCGCAACAAAGCATCAGAGCAAAAGCCCATGAGAGCAATGGGGCGCCGCCCCCCACCTGGTTTATCAAGGAGTACAACGATACTGAAAAGCTGCTGCATGGGAAGAGCGGCTTCTTCCTCGATGGTCGCGAGCAGTTGAACGAATCCCTTCTTGGCATCAACGCTGGCCTCCTTGAGCAGCCGAGGAGGGAGGAAGTCAATGCCGAGGAGGCAGAAAGTCATGCAACACAGTCAAGCTTAGAATCCTAAGGTGCACGAGGAGGCTGTGAGAGAGAAAGATGAAGAGGAGGAGGAGGAGGAGGAGGAGGAGGAGACATAACATACTTAGAGCCGGAGGAGGAGATAGATGGGGCGGGAGAGTGTCAGGTTTGGAAGATGTGGTTAGAGGAGGGGGGAAACGACGCATGGCTATGTGTGGGAGTGAGACTTGCCCAGGCCCCCAACGTCTTGAGACGATGCAGGCGCATTTTTGTTCCGAAGTTCCTGCCCCCAGGGCCATCCAAAAGGGATCGGCACAAAACAACGACCCCCAGTCAGCCCTTGGTCTTCTTCCAGCCAGCCAAGCAGGAGTGCTTACGATCAGTACGTGTCTTCAGGGAAGAAGGACGCGTTCAAGCGAGATCCAGACAAGCCCAAGAGACCACTCACAGGTTTCCTGCGGTTTGTAGCTGAGAAGAGGGAGCAAAACAAAGACGTGAAGGCGACGGTCCTAACGAAGGAGGCGAGTGACTCGTGGAAGGGTATGTCGGAGGCGCAGCGGAAGCCATACAACGAGGCGTACGAGCTGGACAAGGCACGATACGCAGAGAAAATGAAGGCATACGCTGCATCTGGAAAAGAGGAGGAGTCCCATGACAAATGCGCACCGATACCGAGACCCTTCCCTTGTTCTGGCCTTGGGGTTCTTGGAGAGGTCCTGCGAATAGCGGTGTCATTGCGTGTGTTGCCCCCCTCCAGTCGAGTAGATGATCGATGACAAAATTGATTTGCACCAGAATTGATTGTCTCGTCGAAATCCAGAACAATACGCAGAAGGTTCCGTAGATCGACGGAACTGTCTACGTGTTCTCCGTGAGTTCGACGAGAAATCAATTTTGGGGTACATCCATTTTGCAGTTGATTCCCTACTAGACTCAGGAGTGGAAGGCCAAAGTCGGCATCAAGACCCTGTCGGAGAAGCTCGAGGAGAGGAAGGCCGCCAGGGAGGCCGCGGCGCTCAAGAGGAAGGCCGAGGTAGAAAAGAAGAAGGCGGCCGCCCAGAAGAAGAAGGACGCGCTAAAGGCCAAGAAGGCCGCTGCCGCGGAGAAGAAGGCCGCACAGAAGGCGGCCGCGGCGGACAAGAAAAAGGCCAAGGCTGCCAAGCTCAAGGCTAAGGCGGCGGAGACCCAGGCCAAGAAGAAGAAGGCCCAGGCGGCCAAGGCAACGAAGGAGAATAAGGTTGCGAGCACAGCGAAGGCCAAGTGAGGCAGCCCTCCTGCTGCTCTTCCTCCTCCCCCCCTCTTTCCCTTAGAGTCGACTCCCTGCTGCCTCTCGTGCAGCGCGATCTGTCCAGGGTCCCGGATTTCGGGGCCGGTCCGACCGTCGCGGTGAGGACGCCCCAGGAGGCGCCACAAAAAGGAACGCGCGGAGCGCCTCGACCGTCGACCCTCCTCCAGAGGGCGTCCCTGGAGGTCCCGGGAGGCCTCCCGAGGTCAGCAAACCCATATTCCCACTGCATTTTATTTTCAATGGGCGGCTTTTGAAAGTGTTCGGCCCTCGGGGTCAGTTTTCGGGCCCCGAGGGTGGATCCGAGACGAAAACTACCCTGGGGAAGCGGTCGGGATCTCTGGGGCTGTGGACGGACAAAACCATCGACGGATGTCATGGACGGTTACTGCAGACCCAAAAGAAGGCGAGATTCTGTCTTTACTCTCACCTTCACTTTTAGATTTCGGCACCTGGGAACCGCCTCGGACCCCAGGCTCGTCCAGCAGCGCATGATGGAAATCTGGTCCCGGGGCAAGGGGTGGCGAGCTCCAGGACCCCGTTCTGAAAGAAGCAGGGCTTCGGAGGCCCAGGGCCCAGGCCGCCCACGGGAGGCCGGAGCAGCTGGGGTCGCAGGACCGAGGCCTTTTGCTGGCCTCCAGGGCCTGTCTCCAGAGACCGCCAGGAGCCTCCGGGGAGCCTGCTGGGGCCCTCGAGGGATGGCTGGGTGGGGTCGAAGGATGTCGGGAGCGTCCACGAGCGGGGCGAGGATCAGGGGGCGGTCATGGCCGGGGCCACGACATCTCCCAGATCTCGTGGCCGCATCTTCTTCTTCCCAACGCGCTCCCTGGCACCCCTCTCCGGCGCACTCGAGGATTGCTCCGCATCTCTTGTGCATCGTGGGTCCAGCGTGAAGTCGTGCTTGTCCCTCTACATGATGAATATTCAAAAATAGTCTCAACATAGTTTTGGGACATTTGTCTAAATATTTGTTTGAGTATGTTTGACTGTTTGTAATTGTTCGTCCAAAATTTCCCTTTAGGAGGACCGGCCCGACTTAAGTCCAGCGCCATCCAGAACCCGAATCGGGTTGACCCAAAAGGGGGTCCAGCGACAAGAGGGTGGTGCAATAGATGTGTTGCAATCGATTTGTAGGGTTGCAATACATTTGGGGCGTGCAATACATTCGGGGTGCAAATGCATTTTTGGGGCTTTCACGTGCAATACATTACTCGCAACACAACAGAATACAATCCTCCGTCGCAAGATACTTGCAAGACAATTACGTACCCGAAATCCATCGGGCTTTCCGGCCCCAGCTGCTCCAGCCTTTGTTTTTGTTGGCCGCCTCCGACTCGATCTTGGAGGCCTGCGAACGACCGGAGGGAGGGCGCCAACAGGAAGAGGATGAGGAGGAGGAGGAGGAGCAGGAGGAGGAGGAGCAGGAGGAGGAGAACCAGTGTAAACCCAAGAGTCGTCAACGATGTTGGAATCAACCTTCCCTCCAGGTTTCCTCTTCATAATTCGGTTCCTACAACGGCTCATGTCCACTGAGGGAACTACCTCGTTGGAATACAACCGTTTGACGACCCTTCATGCCAAAACATTATTTTCGGGATTCCAGCGCCACGGATCATCCTGACTTTTGCGTTTTGACGATCCTTAGTCGTGCCAGAACGCCATTCTTGGTACTTCAACACTGCGAATCGATCTAACTCTTGCACCCTCATAGCCCTGAATCCCTACAAAAAAAACACCATATCTGGTACGTTGATCATGGGAAGCCGTGGAACTATTGCAAACAAATATGCGCGGCGCTAAGGCGAGAGCCAGATTTTGAAAATGAGCCTCCCGCAACCTGTGAAAGACCTGCAAATTTTGAAAACGAGTATACGCGGCGCTGAGGCGAGAGCCAAAACCACCGGCCTTCAATCCGTGACATTCTTTGAGCCACATTTTGAAAACGACCCGCCCTCAATCCGTGAAGCTCTTGCAAACATTGAGATCGAATGTGCACGGCGCTGAGGCAAGAGCCACATTTTGAAAGCCACCCGCCCTCCATCCGTGGAGCTGCTGCCAATTGTTCAGCTTCAGGGTCATACCCGGTGAGGAAGTCTCGTGCGAAACGTCGGGCCCGCCCAAAACAACTGGCCTCGGGGTGCGACAGGGAGAAGGGTTTTATCTGGAAAAGGAGTGGATTAGGAGCAGGAGGAGGCGGGAGAAGGAGCAGGAGGAAGGAGGAGGAGGAGGAGTTGGAGGAGGAGGAGGAGGAGGAGGAGGAGGAGGAGGAGGAGGGAGGAGGGAGGAGGAGGAGGAGGAGGAGGAGGAGGAGGAGGGAGGAGGAGGAAGGAGGAGTAGGGAGGAGTAGGAGGAGAAGGAGGAAGGGTCGGGACGGGGGTCAATCCAAACGGGGTTTAACCAGAGCGCCAGATCCGGCAGGACCCTGCAGAGCCTGGCAAGGGCTTGGGCGCAGGATCCTGCAGGATCCCGCAGGATTTGGCAGGATCCTGCAAAGCCTGACTGGCCTGTGTCTGGATTGACTGCTCCTGCACATCCACTTCGGCACCGCCTGCACCCCTGGGCTTCGCCCACTCCGGCCGCCTGAGGCCCCGCCTTCCTGTACCTTGTCTCCCTAATTAAAGCTGTGCGTAGCCCGCCTAGCTTTTAGCGGAAGAGGTTCGCGCTCGCCCCGCAGATCACAAATTGTGTTTGGATTGACCCGGGTCAGAAGGTCCCCGAAAGAGGGGCCCGATTGCGAAGGCCTTGCGCCCCGTGCCGCGGACACCCCCCCCTCTCGAAAGCCTCTTGGGGTCCTCTTGGGGCCCCATGCGGCCGTCTCGGGGGCCCTTTGGGCCGACTTGGGCCGTCTTCGGGCCGTCGTGGGCCGTTTTCGGGCGCTGTCGGCAGCCTCTGGGACCGTCTTGGGGCGATGTTGGTGGCTTCTGGGCCGCCTTGGAGCGTCGGGAGTCGAAAAGGCGAGGACACGAAACACATAGATCGACGACATGAAAACCGTTGTTTTTCGCCTCTTGTGGTCCACATGGGGCTCCTCTTGCAGCCCTCTTGGGGTGTCTGGGTGGCTCTGAGGCTGTCTTGGAGCGATCTTGGGCTGTCTTTCAGGGCAATCTAGGACCGTGTTGGGGAGATACATTGCCGAATGAAACCTATCACATTTGCTCAGAGAGGACCCGACAGGGGACTAGGTGAACTATATTCTGTCCTGGACCCTCCCCCCCAATACCCCCCAAGACCCCCCCCGGATGGGAAAGCGATCAAAGAGAGTGGTCTCCCTTTCGACTCGATTCCACGTTGCTGCTGTATTTACCTTTGACTGGCGCGCTTGGGGCGGAGGGGCAGACTCCACCACGACGACGACGACGAAAACGGAAGAGCCCCTCACACGCCGACAGGATCGGCGGACTACAGTAAGGCGGGGGGAGGCCATGGCTGGGGCCATGATATCTCCCTGGATTTCATGGACTTTGCCTTGTTCTTATGTTATTGCTTCGCTTATTCCCCCGGGCCATACTGCCTCGCCGCTGAATTTGTCGGGGTGACGTTGTCAATGCGGTGCGGTTCGGCGGCTGCCATTTTTCGGAGGCGGTGGGTGTCGGGTCATAGGCCTCACGGATGTTGGTTGGGCTCTCGTGGTTGGCTTCTCAGGGGCCTTTGGGAGGCAGTTTTGAGGCCTCTTGGGGGTCGTGTTGGGGCCGTGTTGGGGCCTCTTGGGGGCCTCTTGGGGCCTCCTGGGGGCCTCTTGGGGCTGAAGGCTTGACTTTTCGGTTCCTGGTCCCCTTCTTGGGCCCCTCTTGGGGCCGTTTTGGGGCTCTCTTGGGCTGTCTTGGGTGCCTCTTGGGCTGTCTTGGGGCCATCTTGGGCTGTCTTGGGACCCTCTTGGATGGGCGGTGTTGGGGCGGTCTTGGAAGACTTAGGCCGTCTTGGAGCGCCGGTAAGCCGACAAGGCGAGAACGCCAGAAACCTTCAGGAACTAAAGGAAAATCACTGATTTCTGCCTCTGTGGGCCCTCTTGGGAGGCCTCTTCTCTTGGAGGCCTCTGGGGGCGTCTTGCAGGCGCTTTGAGCTATCCAGAGGCAATATTTGGCGTCTTGGATCGCACTTGGACCGTCTCGGACCATGTTGAGCTCTCTTGGAGGCCACTTGAAGCGCTCCTGGAGCGCTCTTGGGAGCCTCCGGGACCTCCCCAGGACCTGGCCGGGACTTGGCCAGGACTTGCGGGGGTATTTTTCGTCTGGGGACCGCGGCCCCGCGCGCGCGAACTAGAAATATTGTTAACCAGTTACCCGAGATCTTAGCACGCCCTTTCCCCGGATTTCATGAGCCTTGTTCTTATTTCAACACGTCGCAGTGCTCTGAACAGGAGGATGAGCAGGAGGGGGAGCAGGGAACGAGGAGGAGGAGGAAGAGGAGACCTGTGCAGGAGGGAAGGAGGAGGATGAGGAGGAGGAGGAGGAGGATGAACGAGGAGGGAACGAGGAGGGATATCACCGTTTTTCGCACGCTGAGCGCTGAGTCCTTGATACTGGAGCCTCGATCGTCGAACGTTGATCCTCCTCCTGCTGACCAAGGGGGTAATGGCCAGGGTGACGTCGAGATCCCCCTCGAGGGTGGAGCCTGGATCGTCGATCGTCGATCCTCCTCCCGCTGGCCATTGGGCGGGGGTTTGACCAGGTCGCGCTGGGGCCTCGATCGTCGATCGTCCATCCCCCTCGTCGATTGTCGATCGTCGAGCCTCCTGGATCCTCCTCCCTCGTCGATCCTCCTCGTCGATCCTCCTCGTCGATACTCCTGTCTCGTCGATCCTTCTCGTGCACTGGCCGGGGGGGGGCGTAGGCTGCGCTTGGGGTCGCCGCAGCCGCCACTGCCCCCCGCATCGATGACGACGCCTGGCGGCGCGCTCCGCCGTCCGCCGTCCGCCGTCCGCCGTCCGCCCGCTCGCCTCTGCGGGGAGGGGGGGGGGGACGCGCCCTCGCTCGATCCTTGGGGGGGCTGCTTCGTCTCCTCTCGGGGGCAGCGTTCGGGGAGGGATGGGCTCGGGTCAGCCACGCGCAAAGAGGGGGGGCAGGGGGGAGGGGGGAAGGCTTCTCAGAAGCACCCCCTGCTTCCTTGGAAGGCGCGGGCCTTGTCTGTAGATGCAAGGCCGGCGCCTTCTGAGGAGCTGCCTCCTTACATCGGTTGTACGTAAGAGTGACCTTTTGCCGGAGCGGCCTTTGGTGCGCGCCCACTGGGGTACGCCGATCGTCGCGTGCGGTGCGATTGTGGCGTCTTGCGCGCTTGTGTCTGGCCTCCTCGCGCCCCCCGAAAAGCCGCGCACCAAAGGTCACTCCGAAACAGGGTCACTCTTGCGTGTAGTCGATTCCGAGGAGCCGTCCCTCCTCCCCCATGCCCCCTTGCGCGCGCCGCCAATCAGGGCGGAGGGGGCCGAGGCTTCGAGGCTCGCGAAAGGCTCGAGGTTTCCGGGGCGGCCTCGCCGGCTCTCGGCGGCTCTCCAGCCTCGGGGTGCGCTCTCCAGCAGCTGCGCCCGGCCGAGAGTGTTCCACGGGTGCCCGGAGCGTCCCGGACGGCCGGGGGAGAGCCAGGATGCCAGGCCTCCCGAGTGGGGTCAGAGCAGGTGGGGCTGGAGGATCGCGACGCATCGACGATGCATCGCCGATGCGTTTCGATATGCCGCCCGTGTTTCCCCAGGCCGACGCCGCCGATCATCGCCGACGTCGCCGATGCATCGCCGATGCATCGCCGATGCGGCGCGATCCTCCGACCCCATCTAATCGGACCCCATCTAGGAGGCCTCTATGGGTGTGGTCGGAAGACCAGAGGACAGGGATTGCTAGGCGAGCCCCCAGGAAAAGTGTTCGGGAGGCGTTCAGGGGCAATGACCGGGCGTGATGGGCATAGGGGAGAACCTCGTCGACGCCCCAACGCCCATTGATCGCCGGTAGGGGCCTGACAGCCCCAACCTGTCCAGGAACGTGCGGATTCACCATCGAGGACCTCTCGCCGATCCATCGGCGATGTATTGCCGATTCCAGGTCGATGCGCCCCCCCCTATCGCTCCCCCTATCGCTGGCCCTCCCAATACGTGCGCCGTCAAGCTTTCCAGAGGCTCCTTCCAGGAGCTTCCAGAGCTCCTCCGATGAACTCGCCAGAAGCTTCTGTCGCTTCTCTATCCGGGTCTTGGACACCACAAGTGCCGTAACCAAGCCCATGTCGTTTCTTCCGTCATGGGCAACGCTTGGAGGAGGCGGGCTCAGGGCGGAATACATCACCCCCCAGTCTCTCATTAACCACCGACAGGGACCTGATTATCCCGCCTCGCCCAGGATCGTGGGCATTCGCCATTTGGGCCTATCGCCGACCTGTATCCCAGTCAAATGTGTCCCCCCTGAGCCTGCACCCCTCTACCGTACCCTCTCTCAGGGGAGGCTTCTCCTGCTCCGCTCATCCTCTTGATCTGGCGTGCCCTGCATTTTCGTTCGTTTCACCTATTACTTCTTCTCGGACCCGCCTCTTTGGAGGCAGGCCGATCTATGCTCCGCGCTCCATGCTTCTTCTCCTCCCCCTCCGCCCCCTCCTCCGCTCCTCCTCTCCTGATGAGCCTTCTCCTCACGGTCCTCTTCCTGGTCTGCTCTCTTGAGCAGACACATGGAGGCGCACGGGCCTGACCTGTTAGCCTTCTCCTCCTCCCTCGATCGTGCTCTCTCTCCCCTCTTCTCCGGGGCTGGAGTCGCGGGGGCCTGGAGTCCAGACCGCACCCCAGGACAGATCGGGACCCAGACCCCCGACGTGGTTTTTTACTCAGAACGTCGACCCCCATCAGTGGTCTTGACCCCTTCCCCGGGCTGGTCCCGAGGCCCAGTAAGGGCACCCCAGTCGCGAAAAAATCCGTCGTGTTTTTTTTGTGACGCAAGGGGTCTGGAGAGGTCGATCTCTGACCCCCGAGAACCCAGACGGGGTCGAGGGCCAAGAGACGGCGGGAGCACAGACTGACTCGGAGGTCTGCGCGGGCTTTTCTGGGGGGTCGGCACCCTCAACACGGGCCCCGGAGCCGTCAAACACGCAACTCGAACTCAGAATCTGGCCCCGGGGAAGGAGTCGAGGTCTAGGCATCCAGGGGCCCGCTTTGTGCCACAAGCACAGCGTCGGACGTCAGTCTGGGCCTAAGACTGTCGGAGGTCTGCGCGCGGATCTCTTGGGGATCGGCACCCTCCACGGGTTCCTGGAGCTGTCAACACACAACTTTGGATCATTATTTGGTCCCGAGGAAGGGGTTTAGGTCTAGACTCGGCGGCGAGCGAGGGGGGGAAGTGAGAAGGAGAAGGCCTTCTCAGAAGGGTGCGGGACTTCTCAGAAGCCCTCGTGTCTTCTGAGAGGCGTTATGTCTCTTCGGGGAAGGCTCATCAAACTTCCCAGAAGGCCTGGGAACTTCCGAGCCTTCTGAGAAGGCCTTCCAGACCGGGGCTCAAGATACGCGGAACGATGCAAACGAGGGTCAACCAGAGCGTTGGATATTGCAGGATCTTGCAGAGCCAGGGTCACATTTACCCAGGCTTGGGTGCAGGATTCTGAAAAAACCTACAGAATCTTGCAGGAACTTGCAAGTCCTGACTGACCCCGGGTCGCATTGCCCCAGGTCAGTAGCATTGTTGGGCCTAAACGCTGTTTTGCTGGGCATCGGCGTTGTTTTGTTTTTGTTTCGCTTTGGCAGGGAGGTACAGGAAATCTGGTAGAGCAAAACGAAACACATAACGAAAATTATCCCAGTGCCACTCTACCTAGGAGTTAGAGCCCCTAGGAAAGCAGCATTAGTAGTAACAGTAAAGCTAAGCTAAAGCTAAGCTAAAGCTAAGCTGAAGCTAAGCTAAAGCTAAGCTAAGGCTAAGCTAAGGCTAAGCTAACACTAAGTCAAATCTAAGCTGAAGCTAAGCTGAAGCTAAGCTAAAGCTAAACTAAAGCTAAGCTAAAGCTAAGCTAAAGCTAAAGCTAAAGCTAAAGCTAAGCTAAAGCTAAACTGAAGCTAAGCTAAAACTAAGCTAAATCTAAGCTGAAGTTAAGCGAAAGCTAAGCTAAAGCTAAGCTAAGCCTAAGCTGAAGCTAAGCTAAAGCTAATATGAAGCTAATATACAGCTAAAGCTAAGCTAAAGCTAAAGCTAAAGCTAAGCTAAAGCTAAAGCTAAAGCTAAGCTATAGCTAAGCTAAAGCTAAGCTGAAGCTAAGCTAAAGCTAAGCTAGCACTAAGCTAACGCTAAGCTAACACTAAGCTGAAGCTAAGCTAAAGCTAAGCTAAAGCTAAGCTAACACTAAGCTGATGCTAAGCTAAATCTAAGCTAAAGCTAAGCTAAAGCTAAGCTAACACTAAGCTAACGCTAAGCTAAAGCTAAAGCTAAAGCTAAAGCTAAGCTAAAGCTAAAGCTAAGGCTAAAGCTCCCAGGGGACTGGGGGAACTGCGGGGCGGGGACTGGGGGAACCGCCCGGGGCGATTAGCATTGCCCGGCCCCTTTAGCTAACAGAGTAAGGACCCTTCTAGGCAGAGCCTAGGTAGGGAACAAAACGGAAAACAACGTTTCGGTCCAGGCCTGGTCAGTAGATCTCCGATTAGATATCCAGGGGCCCGCTTGGTGTAAACATCATGGTTTCGGACGTCCGTTCCGGCCTCCAGAGCTGGGACCGGCGAGAGGACGGGCCACACCCCACTTTCTCTGGCCTCTGGGGCCCTTGCCAGACCAGGCCCCAGGGGCCATCAAGAAACGATTCAGGACGAGAAGCCAGTCTCGGGCGAAGGGGTCAAGCCACACAGGGCCCCGCCAGCAAGCTAGCAGAATAATGAGCACGAAATGCGAATGAGCACATCGCCACTACCATCAGTCCGTGCCACAATACGTACTGACTGCGACACGCCACGCTGGACGAAGATCATGACGTCCTGGGTGTGGGGGCCTTAGCCCTACCTTTGCCAGATATCGGCCACAAGCGCTGTTTGGGGCAACCTCGCTGACAGCTTTCGTTATGACTCCGTCTTTGTGTTTTGGTTTCGCTCTCGGAGGCCAGCTGGGCACGATCGCGCTTCCCAGGCGGTGCCTGAAAACGCTGTCTTGAGAGATCTTCCAGCTGGTCCGTTTAGACCATACAGCGGGAATAGAGGACGTTGGTTTGGTTGACCCTTGGCTTCCTCGCCCCTTTCTTCCCAGACCTCCTGGCATTTCCCCCGCTGGGGTTCATTCGGCTGCAGACATCTTTCAATGTGTGACCCCCGTCGGTTTTTTGTTAGAAATCTGACCTTGAGGCGTAGGGTTCGCATGTGGCTGCCGATTGAAGACTTAGCATCCCCCAGCCCCCGCAAGAGGTCGGGATCCCAGTGCATCCTCTCTACATTCCAGCATACAGGCCCTCGGACGTCGTGACTTGATATGAGCACGCGGGCCCAGCAACTCTCGACCCTTGCCCTTCCGAGGGGCGATCTGGAATCGTCTTTTTTGCTTAAGGAGGCAGAACACTATAGCAGGTGTCCGTGCTGATCTTTATCAAGGCGTTCGAGGTCTGAGTTCCTCTTTTTCCCCACCCCCAGCCCCCTATCCCGATCCCCCTCCTGTCGAACACGATTTCTCGCCGCCCAGCGTTCCCTCGATCCCAGAGAATTTCCCGCGTTGGGCCCTGGCGGGGCGCGATGGGGGCGCTTTGAAGGGCCGTCGGGGCGTTCTCGGACTTTAAGGCATCAGAGCCCATCGGGAGCGAAGCAGCGATACGGCACATCTGACCGAACACCTTTTCCGTTGTTGGTTGAAGATGTTGGCTTCTTGAGGATATCCGTAGGAGGCTCCGTTTTGGGGCCCATTGGTTGGGTAGGAACTCTTCTGGAACACTTCTGGAGGGCATCTTGGGCATCTGGGAGGCGTCTGAGGCTGGATCTGGAGGCTACTAGGGCGGCCGTATAATGGCACAAAGTCCATCCAAACGATTGTCTCGCCTCGGCGCGGGAAGCACGCTGCTAGCTTCCGTCGAACGGGCGCGGAGCAAGGGTCCAACGGTCGTAATTGATCCTTGTGCAGAAAGTTGCGCATCTCGTTGAGGATGTCGCGGAAATGGTCACCCATCTTCAACGTCGTGTATTCTATTTATTTGTGTTGCACCACCGCCTGCTCACTTCCGCTTTCTCCCTCCTTGCCCATCCCACGGTCAGAATCATCATCGCGATGTGGACGGCACAGCTTTTGGGCAGCACAGCGGGGAGCCGTCAGGGGGGTGGCTTACTTACCGCGGCGACGCCACTTAATATTTCCTCCAAGCACAGTGGTTTTGCATCGGTTTCCCGCTATTGTAGGGTCGTCCAGCCATAGTTAATCGTATGCGGTCCGATGAGGTGTGTTGAGGATGGTTGTCCCATTATCCAGCTTTTGTTTGTTGGCCACTTCGCTACACAGGTGCCCCCGTTGAGTTAGTTCCTTCCGCCAGCGCAGACGACCCCTGCCTAGCCGCCGACGCAAAGCGTGTTGAGGATGGTGGCGGGCAAGCATATCGCATGCCTTCTCGCCTCCGGCAGGCGGGGGTCGGCGGACTCTTCTGCGCCGTACGGTTTTTCTGTGGTCTTTTCGGTCTCCATCGCCTACTCTGCGCCCCCCGTGCAACGTTTCCACTGTGCATGTTGCACGTCCTCCACACCCTCCTACACCCTCCACCATCCCTGCGTCTTCTGCACGTCCGTCATCCTGAACACCCTGCATTCCCACATTCTGTACGGTATTTTGGGACTCCTGGGCACCCGACACAGGGAATCAGGAACCAAGACATGTTTTTGACGCCCCGCGAAAAAGGTAGTACACCTTAGGCGATGCTTAAGAAAACTTAAGTTTTCGGCCAGAGTCTCGATTATTCTTAATGTTTCAATGTGAATCCTAACATTTTAATCGACATGTTGGGTTTTTTTATCCAAATTCTGAGACTCTGAGTTTCTTAACCCATGATTTCTTAAGCATTTCGCAGGGTGCACATTCCCACCAAGACCCATCACAAGGACCCCGGATCGGCGGTGAATGTTCGTCAAATTATTTCAGCACCCATTCCGCGTAAGCGGTGAGTGGAGAAGGCAAGCTGATGCACCGATATTCGGTTCCGAAGAAGGGTGTCTGCCGATGCCCACTGCGTGCGTGTGGCGATTGTTGCGTCGCAGGGAGAAGTGGATCCCCCCAAGCGAACACCATGGAATCGAGGCGCGCCTACCGCTGCTACGGCGGTGGCGGATCGTCGTCCTCGCCGTCGCGGATGGCATAGTTTCATAGATTCTGAAGCTTCATTTCTTGTCCGCACCGCGTCGCATCAGAGAGGGGGACCCGCACGAGTTTTCCGAATGTCGAGGCGTGCGCCCTTCGCCGGCGCTTGCCTCCCACCTCCACGTCCGCCTGCTGCCGTCAAGGTATCAAGTGTTCTTCCCTGACGGCGTCCCTTCACTCGTTTCAATCCCTGGCGAGCGGCAGTTACTTTTAGGATTCAGGGGAGTAATCACTGCAAGCTGATGTTGTCCGACGAGGTTGGGGGCCGGAATGTTGAAAAAGTAGCACTTGCGGAAAAGTGTCTGCGCGGCAAAGTCCAACGCAATGCGGGGTCGGTGATAGTGGATTTTCAGGAAACGTGTTTGTCATGCCATTCCCGTCCGAGGTCGGCGAATGCGCATGCATGATGTACCGCTTCGCGTGCAAGTCTTGTACTGCTTGTTTTTTGGAGCACGGGCTTTCCAGGGTACTTCCATTGCATTTCTTGGTGAGGCATAATGTGTCCCGCATAGTACCCACGCAGCCTCATTCCTTGGCCTGGCGCACTCCAGTGATCCTCGACCTTATAAATTAAGTCGCGGGCATCGTCAGGAGAGCACAGTCGGCAGGGACACGCGTTCGACGGTCCGCCCGGATTTCATGGCTCGGCGCTGGACCTCCCCCTGGCGGCGACTCCGCCGCGCTTGGCGCGCTCCGCGCGCCCTGGAAGGGGCGTAGTGGGGGTTCAGCGCCGACACATCGCCGACACCAGACATCCGCGCGGCCCCCCGAATGTGAGTTCGTCTTTCTGCCGATGTCTTGCTTTCCTCTTGGCCTTTCCTCCTGGTCCTCCTGCGCCTCTCAGAAGAGGGCGGCCGTGAGGCGCACGTGAGCAGGGTCCTGAACCGGAGCATTTTCTTCAGGTGGAGGGCAAAGGGTGAAATCTGAAATGCCGCTTCGATGGATTTTCGAGGCTTGAATCTGCAAGCGGTGAATCACATGACGGATTGATTTTCGAGGTGCAAAAGCCCAGACGGATTTCACCCTGAGCCCTCCACTCTAAGCAAATGCTCTGTGAACGGGCACCTGAAGCGCGCCGAGCCCGACACGCGCTCGTGCGCCGAGTGGAGCCTCAGGCGGCGGGAGTCCCGCGGGGCGCTTCCGTGGGCTGGGGACGAGCGACGAAGATCTCATTAGCCGCGCCTGCGCGGTCTGGCTGCCAGTGCTCCGGGCCATGGGCACGCCTCGCGCCAGGACCGTATCCACGCGTGCGCGATGGTCCAGGGTTGCACCCCCCCCCTTCAGTGCTTACAGTCATCGGCCTGACCTACGGAGTGACAAGTAAGGAACGAAGCCCCTTTTTGTTCCAAGGAATAACGCATAAGGAAAGATACATTCGCCGGCCCAACGGGCCAGAGGCGTGCTAAGATCTCCGGCCATTGTTTTACAATAAGTCTATTTAGCGCGCGCGGGGCGGCCCCTGGGGGTCCCCGGAAGGAAAGTACCCTGGGCAGTCCCTTGGCGTTGCGGATCAGAGATGGTTTTCCTCCTGGGCGCCGCCCTCGAGGCCGTCCAGAGAGCTTTAAGAAAGGCCAAGAGGCCGCCGAGAGCCCCTCAAGATGATACAAGAGAGCTCCGAGATGCCACAAGATCGCTGCAAGACGCACAAGATGCCCCCAGACGGCCCAACACACCTCCCAGAGCACTCTCAAGAGGGCCCCAAGAGGCCAACATTCATTGCTGTTCCTTAGGTTTTGGACAGATTTTGGCGTCTCCACCTTTTCGGCTTCCCGAATGCCCAAGATGGCCCAAGAGGCCCCCAAGAGGGCTCCAAGACGGCCCAAGAGGGTTCCGAAACGGCCCAAGACGGCCCAAGAAGGCCCCAAGAACGCCCCAAGAGAGGTCCCAGGCCCTAAGAAGGCCGCAGGAGTCCCCAAGAGGCCCCTAAGGGACTCCAAGACGCCCCCAACAGGCCCTCAGTGGGCCCCCAAGAGGCCTCCAAGCGCCCACAGGAGGGCCCCAAGAGGCAGAAATCATTGTTTTTCCTTAGGTTTGGGAGAGATTTCCACCTTTTCGGCTTCCCGAACCCCCAAGACGGCCCAAGAGGCCCCCAAGACCGCCCCAAGAGGGCCCAAGAGGCCCCCAAGAGGGCTCCAAGACGGCCCAAGAGGGCCCCGGAACGGCCCAAGAGGCCTCCAAGACGGCTCAAGAAGGCCCCAATAACGCCCCAAGAGAGGTCCCAGGGGGGGAACACGAGTCAACAATTCGAGCTCCAGGCCCTAAGAATGCCCCTGGGGTCCACAAGAGGCCCCTAAAGAGACCCCAAGACGCCCCCAACAGGCCCTCAGGAGGCCCCAAGAGGCCCCCCAGCGGCCCCAGGAGGGCCCCAAGAGGCAGAAATCATTGTTTTTCTTTTGGTTTTGGATAGATTTTGGCGTTTCCACCTTTTCGGCTTCCCCACACCTCAAGACGGCCCAACAGGCCCCCAAGACCGCCCCAAGATGGCACAAGAGGCCCGCAAGAAGGCCCCAAGACGGCCCAAGAGGACGGCCCAAGAGGCCTCCAAGACGGCTCAAGAAGGCCCCAATAACGCCCCAAGAGAGGTCCCAGGGGGAGAACGCAAAACAACGTTTCGAGCCCTCGGCCCTAAGAAGGCCCCTGGTGCCCCCAAGAGGCCCATAAGAGACCCCGAGACGCCCCCAACATGCCTTGAGGAGGCCCCCAAGCGGCCCCAGGAGGGCCCAAAAAGGCAGACGTAATTGTTTTTCCTTTGGTTTTGAGAGGTTTGGGCGTTTCGTTTCCACCTTTTCGGCTTCCACACACCCCAAGACGGCCCAACAGGCCCCCAAGACCGCCCCAAGACCGCCCCCAAGAGGGCTCCAAGACGGCCCAAGAGGCTTCCAAGACGGCCCAAGAAGGCCCCAATAACGCTCCAAGAGAGGTCCAAGGTGGGGAACACGAAACAACGTTTCGAGCCCTCGGCCCTCTGACGGCCCCAGGAGTCCCCAAGAGGCTCCTTACAGGCCCCAAGAGGACCTCAATAGGCCCTCAGGAGGCCCCCAAGAGCCCCCCCAGCGTCCCCAGGAGGCACCCAAAATGCCCGTCCGAGCACGCAAGCAAGTGCCAACGACCCGACTTGTTTAAGAGTTCCCACGAGGCCACCAAGAGGCCTCCCGAAAGAGTCCCCATAGGCAAAACGCTTCCAGACGGCCCGCGACGCGTTCAAGACTCTCCCAGCGGCCACCAAGAAGCCTCACATGCCGAACGCAAAGCCTGATACAAACAGCCGCCGCCCCTGCAGCTCCGCACCGCGAAAGACCACTCGGTCAGTCGACAACGGCACGCCATTATGGGCCGGCGGATTGAGCGAAGCGATTCAATAATACATAATACATAAGGAACGGGAAATGACGCATGCAAACCTAGGGAACGACCGAGCCCTTTTTGGAAAGTAAGTGTTCCTTATTCAAGCCGCTCACTGTATGGGATCGAGCCCCCCCCCGCTCGATGGGTACGATGGGATCCCCCCCCCTTGTGGTCGTGCTTTGTGGGCGTGGCGTGCTGGAGGATGCCGGTGCTCCCCGCCCCGTCCCCTGTGGGTCTGGGGTAGTGCGTCGTCGTCTTCGTCGTCGTCTTCGTCGTCGTCTTCGTCGTCGTCGTCGTCTTCCGTCGGCGTCGGCATCGGCGTCGTCGTCGTCATCATCGTCGCCCCCCCGTCCAATCGAGGGGGGTTTGGGGGGTCTGTGGAACCTAGGGACACATCCCATCGGGGGCTGGGGGCGGTGAACCCTCGATTCGGGATCATATATCTGTCGCCCGCCCTCGAGAGTTTGGGGCAGGCGGCGGCGCAGGGTCCTCAGATCCTGCGTTTCCTAACAACATCGTGGCGGAAGATGTGACATCAATCTGGGTTTGCGAATGCCTTTGTCTCAACCAGCAGAATACAAGCCCTAATCCTAAACGAACAATGCATGCGTTGCCTAACTTAGGTCCACGTTTTTGTTGGGGGATATCCGTGAGCAAGTGGGTGTTTTCGTATGGCGCATCTGCAATGACGGCCCCCTTATCCCTAATGTTTCTGACCCTAACTTAGGTTCCCTCCTACTAGACTAAGGGTACATGTATTGCTTATCAGACTCCAGGACAGGCGCACAAGAACCTGGAATGGAACTGGTCCCTCTGGGAGGAGTCGAGGGTTGCATGGGGGCCCACGTCACGAACACATCCTGACGCTGGATCAGGTGGGAGGAATATTGGATCAGGAGATTGAGGAAGAAGAAACAGCGATGGGGGAAGGTTTTTGCTCCACAGCGGTAGCACTGGAGTCTCTCGTGCCGTCTAAATGAATGGGTCTGGTCTTGTATGGTGAGGCCCCGCCTTCGAGTTTCTTGCGGCTGCGGGATTTGTTGTTTGCCGCTTGCGTCGCCGTAGGATGGGCCTTGGTTCCCGATTATGGAGTCTCTTCTGTCCGATGGAGATGTTGGCGGCTGTAACGCCATTTTCTTATGATGGGGGTGAGAAGAAGTAGGCGAGTATCCCCGGATACCTCCGACGGCGTCTTGGGATCCCATAATACACCCCATCGCCCAAAACCGTCGATCCTCGATGATCGAGGAGGGTCAGGATGAGGACCAGGACGCATCAAACCTAGGATTCGCAAAAGATGCCGCAACATATCCCTGTCCCAAGTGCCATTTGAACTTTCTCCCATGACAGTTTATTTTGACCGCGGGCGTCCCATGATTTATAAAGCATCCGCCCTCCATCGGGCTCAGTTTTCAACCTCCCGACAATGAGCTTGTTAGTCCAGGGAGGTCTTGAGCGAGAGTCCCACTGTGAAAAGGATCTGCCTGCATCCGTGTGGCTGCTTCCCAGAGTCCATTTCGAAGAAATCCCTGGCAAGAGTCCCCAAAGTCGAACAGACCTCCATTTCCGTAGCCATTTGGGCTCCAGCTGTTTTTCTCGAGCTCCCGCAGCGGATTTCTCAGGGACCCCCAGACGAAGACAGAAAGCAGAGCCAAAGCATGTTGCTCACTAGCCATTCGAACGGGTGCTTTCGCATTCTTGACTGGTCCCAGGTGCTGTCAAGCGCAGACTTCTACGCTTGCTGAGCGTCCCGTGCTCTTCAAGTTCTCCCTACCTTCCCCACCTCATCCTGCATCTCTCCTTCCATGTGCAGGGTTGCCTTCGCGCCGCGATGCACTTGCACTACTTGTCCAGCCGCGCTGCCACCCGATTCCGCCACTTCGCTCGGGCGGGGGGGGGAGGGCGGGGGGGCGGCAGCCGAGGGTCTGGGGTGGGGGGGGGGTGCGGAA